AACACTTTAGCCCAACCTTATACCAAAATTTCCCCTCTTCCCGAATACGTTCCAGGAAGCCAACATATGATGGAGGTGGAAGTCAAATTTATTCAGAAAATGCAACTAGAACCATCCAAACCCTAAAAGACGAGGAAAGGGGAACGAAAAAGCATCGGTTAGTAGACAATAAAAGGTTTACCCCTTAGTATTAGACACCGAGAGAAGATAAAATATCAACAGAATCGTGGGTCGACATTTTAGAGGATCCCATAACTAGAAATGTGTAACCGATGATCATTTTTGGCAACACATTATGGAGCGGTTTCACAAAGACGAATATACGAGCAAGTTTCGCGAAATGAACAAAACAATCACAAAATTCAATGAGACATTCAAAAACTTGCTAAGTCAATGAAAAAGTGGGGAAAGCAATACAAACATCTTCGATGTGGTACTTGAAATTTTAAAAATCAACAACAATAGGAAGCCAATTGAAATTTGTCGATATTTGGGAGTTTTTATTTACTTCCTCAAAATGGCAAGAATATTTTGGCAAAGAAGAAGGTGGTTTGAAAAGAACTAAAAATTTCGAGACGAGTTACACAACTTCATCGGATGTTGTTAGGAGTTTGAGTTGAACGAAGAAGATGAATTTAAACATAATGAGAAAGTCCACCCGATGGGTTAAAATAAGGCACAAAAACATAGGGTCTTTGTCTAATGAGTAATGCATCGGGACCCGAAAGATGAGATTTTGTGCGCAAGGTGGTAAATAGTTTTGAAATATATAATTGTTTATAATTCCGAAAAGAGAAATTAGCCGAGAAAAAAAAGAGCGAGAACAAAAATTAAAAGTTTGCAATATGAAATTTTTAACGCGAGACATCGACCATATTTCTAGAGATGAGCTCGCAATGATTTTGAAAACAAGAGATAAATTCATAAAAAATTAAATTAGACTTATTTTGTATCTCAAATGCTTCCCCAACCTATCCCTTTCCCGCCAGCTGGTCGCTCACCACTTACCCTCTAATACACTTGCGTTGTTCTTTGAATTTGTGTCTAATCTACTTCAGTTAGGTTCATGCCTTTGTTCCAAAAGAAATCGACTACACCTCCACCTCTGCTTCCTCCCTTAGGAATCGATTCTTCAGGTGAAGTTGAAAAGATATTAAACATATTGAAGTTGAAATTTTTGTTGATGGTTATGATGCGGGATAAGCAATTACAAGAGAGAGGCTACCTTTTGAAGCTGAAGCTGCAATTGCAAATTTGGTTAAAGACCGGACAAAGTTGAGACTACATAGATTGAAGGAATGGGTGGATACAAATATCCAACATAAGGTGACTTCATTAAATAAATAGTAATGTACTTTACCAAGAATTCTGATTATAGCAACTTACTTTCGTTTTTAATCATAACAGAAATCGATTTTTAATTTCTTTATGATTACGACTAAAACCAAAATTATCACTAGATTGGAAATACGTTGCTATTATGAGTAAAAGTCAACCCATTGGATTAGATTTCATTTAGAAATACTTTGTCCCTCTTATGTCCATTAAATAACAAAAACACCACCCAATTTTTCAAAATAATAAAGGTATGTTGCTAAAATATGTATTTTTTTATTTATGATTTTGTCCATGGCATGCTCTTTTATCATTGTGTTTCTTTCTTAACTATATTGCTATAGTAAAATAGACAGTGCAAAAAAAAGACTTGTGGTTTACCACCATATAATCCACTAGTTATTAAATTATATTTTAACATATTTAATTACAAAAATAAGAGGTGGTTGTGGTGACATCTAACCATTAGAAAATAATTGATGTTTTGGTCTAGAAGGAATGCATGGATATTGTTTTAGGTGTTTATTTTTTGCAAATTTTGTTTGTATTAATATGAATTTTTTAAACAAAAAATTTCATTCCATTTTTATTTTATAAATTCATGTAGTATACGTGTTCTGTCACACCCCAAAACCAAGAACGGCGGAAACGTTCCGGGGTGGAGGACGTCATGTACAGTATCACAACAGTGTAAAGTAGTAAATAAGCAACAACATCATCCATTGCATTATAAGTAAAGTTTTAATACATGTGTGTTCTTTCATTGTAATAAGACACCAAAAATATACAATCCAAACAAAAGACGAGACTTGTCTGTGCTCCGTCTTCTCAAAACCTGGCCATCGTACCTTTCTACTGGTGACCTGAGAATACAAGTTATTTTGAAAGAGAGTATCAACTTTAAAGCTGGTGAATTAATAAGTAATTAAGTGTCATTATCTTGCTTTAAAAAGCTGTTATGAATGTCATGTAATACCTTTAAGTAAGATAGTTGATATAAGTATGAAAAACCCTAAGAAATCCCTTATTTCCTACTAGTATGAAATGTAGTCTTCTACCAAGACCCGAATGTTTTGTTATGACAATGTAGTCTTCTACTAAGACCCGAATATTTTGTTATGACAATGTAGTCTTCTACCAAGACCCGAATGTTTTGTTATGATAATGTAGTCTTCTACCAAGACCCGAATGTTTTGTTATGATAATGTAGTCTTCTACCAAGACCCGAATGTTTTGTAAGTAAAATGATAGTTGTTCGTTCTTTTTGACTACTACTAACAGTAATTAGTCTAACTCATCGTTTATGTGAATATATCACAAAATAAAGTAAATAGGAAAAATATAACCATGTAAGTGTTATCTCTGGATACCATGACTAACACGCCATTGCAGTAAGTGATATGTATAACCTAATGAACATCCGAAGATGGTCCAATTGTCCTCTATAGCAGCAGCAGGTTGGAGGAAGGGTTAGTCCCGTAGCCGACTCCTAATATAAGTGGTAATCTAATGATCATCTGAAGATTTTCATCTCATCCTCTATTGCAACAGCAGGATGGAGGAATGGTTAGTTCCGATATCAATCTATCTATTATAAGTGATAACCTTAGACATCCGTGGATGTTCATCACCCAGTGGTGCTAACAGTTGGGTTCCGGAATGGTTAGTCCCGTCTAGACATCCCGTCGAACGGGGATAGGTAGGAAAATTTACACAGAAGGTACGAATAAATCTTCCTCATAACTCTAGGTACAAGTATCCAGGTAAGTGATACAGGTTAATGTATATATGTAACAGTACTCATGTATGGTATTCATGTAAGCATATTCGGATAAATGTATCTATAAAAACGTACTTATGTATCATGTAATCCTAGATAAATGTACTCATGTATCATGTAATCCTAGATAAATATACTCATGTATCGTGTAATCCTAGATAAATGTACTCATTTATCGTGTAATGTACTGGTATAGACTCATGAATGAACTGATTCTTGTGTGATTCCTTGTAATAGGAATATTGTTTTGTATCTTCTAACTATCCCTATGATAATTAACTGAAAGGCAATTGTTTGTTCAAGAAGGTAAACGTAATGGTTTTGCAAGGTATCTAAGAGTTTTGAATAATAATTAAGAGTGACTTGATGTCATGTTAATAAATATTTCAAAACTAATACTTTTGTTATCAAGGTATTTTAAGATGGAAAACCATTTCATGCATCACATTTTGTAGTATGTGAAATCTACTGGATGAAAACACAGTTATAAAATACATATGAGTGATTTGATAACATGTTGTTTTCTACTTGTATTCCCCCCTCCATTAAAGCATTTAAAAACATTTAAAATATTCATTTAGGGGTATGAACTCACCTGTAGATGGTGGTTTGGATGAACTGAACGGTGTAGGATTGTTAGGCGTCAAGTAAGGACTTGTACACACACTACGATCCTAATGAGCATATAATCACACATATATGCACTCAATTAGTCTTAAATTACTAATTGATAATGTTAAGACATCCTAGAACATAATAAACACTTTATATAAGTGTTATAAGCCCTAAGGATTGCATCTAAGCTATTGTGGGACAAGGCACTTGGGTTTAGGGTTCCTAAGGACCCCATACTTGAGTTTACTCCCCATATACCCCCACACAAGGAGTTTACGGTCGTAAACTCTTGAGTTTACGGCCGTGAACTCCAAGGCTTAATGTCCTTTGTTGTTTTGAGGTGCTAAATGATTCCTAGAAGCATTCCAACCTGGTGGGTTAATTCTTGGAAGTGTTTAGGGCACTAATAACCTCCTTTGAGGAGTTTACGTCCCCAAGGCCAATTCCTTTGGAGTTTACTGCCGTAAACTCTCATGGAAGGGTTTTTTTGATGCTTTCAAGTCTCATACCCATGTAGGATAGGTTCTAGACTTTTACCCAAAGCAAATGAAGGCCTTAGGCACACTTTGGTACCTTAGTTTGATGTTCACAGCGCAAGAACCTTATTAGGGCTGTGAACTCACTTTGGGGAGTGTTTTTGATGTATTTAAGGTCCTTGATTTAAGTGGGAACAATTCTATGTAAATGTCCAAGGCTTTAGGTGACTTAAAAACACACTTTGGTCCAAGATTTTGGAGTTCACGGTCCAAGATCTTCTTGGGCCGTGAACACCCAAACATTTGTGTTTCTTTGATGTTTTCATGTCCCAAATACACTTATACATGAGTCTAAGGTAGTAGCATATCTCGGGGGAAGGGCTAGGCTTTGTTTCGGGAGTGTACCGCCCAAGAACACCTTGGGGAGTAAACTCCTAAATCTAGTTATTTAGCTATCTAATCCATGTTATGAATACATTATAAGCTATATAACACTACTAGAGAGAGGTACTCACGATTTGGGATAAAAACCCGAAGATCCGTGAGAGAGAAAATGGTTTTTCTCTAGTTGGAAATGTAAATAATGAATGAAATTGTTTCAGAATTCTATTTATAGTCCTGAGATTTTTGGCAGAAAATATTTTATTCCCGAAATGATCTCTAACATAATAGAGTGTTGGAATAACAGTGTTGCACAAAACCCTAGTGCATCCACTCTCCTGATATTTCCTGAAGTGTAAACCCCGAATTACTCAAACTTATACGGAAAAGTCTGAAAGTTTACTGTGACTGATATAACTTCTATTGAAGTGATATTTTTGTACAGAATGGAAATTTCAAGTTGTCACATATTCGGTCTATAGGGGTATCATTAACTTATCTGGTCTTCCACATGGAAAACTAATAGAATAATCCGACTCTAACATAATAATAAATATCCTTAAAATAATACGCTCTAATAGTAATTAAACTTTAGATAAAATATCATCAAGAGTGACAACAATATCCTTATACAATTTCCAGACACGTGGCACATCCTTATCCCTCGCTGCATAATCTAACCCTGTGACATCATTAAAAAGTTTGGAATAAAGATTCCGAAGTTGAGGTCTTTCCATTCCAGGCTTCCCTTGAATTATCGTATAAATGTCTTGTTTCAAATAAGAAGCACTCTTCCTCAATTCCTTTTGCGCCTCTTTCCACGATTCCAATTCCAACAGATCTTTCACTTGTACCAAACTCATCGCATGTTCTCTGATTCCATTCTCTGCTTCCTCCACTGTCTGGTCAGGAACAGTCATTCTAAACATGTCTAGAATCGAAGATTCAGCTGCATACGCTTGTTGGGATTGTAATGGAATTGAAGAAGAAAGGAATAGGAATAGTGATGTTGCGTTTCTTCTTGTGATGTGGGTGTGTTTACAATGCAATTTTGTTTCTTTCATGCGCTTTTTTTCATTGTGTTTTCCTGCACATGAACATGCGAACAGTCAAAATGGTATTTAATTCAATCGTATTAATAAGAAAATTTCACATTTCAATTTTATCGAATGGTTGTGTGAAGTTTTATCATGTTAAACAATTACTAACAGTTAAAAAGTTGTGATTTTAACAAAGCGTCTAAAATTGTGTAATGCGATTTATCTTTACCTGAAGGAGCAAGAACATTAAAAGTTGTCATGTGCCAAAGTAAAGCAACCATTCTTCTACAACATGGACATCTTGTTTAAAGACTTGAGAGTAAATACGTCGATTATTAATCTGCAAATAAGAATAACATTAGGGTTAATTTCATCCTTTTATACCATGACTCGTTAGGTATAATTTAATATTTTAGTATATTATAGATTTTAATAAGGAAAAAAAAAGTAATGCAACCATGTACATAACCTGTTTCGTACAACTTATAACACATTTTTATTTCAGATATCAAATTTCGATAAAGATAATCAACAAGAAATGAGCATATACAATTGTATATTAGCATCGGAATAGTACTATTAAGTATTAACCTCTCTTAATCATTGATAGGGACAGAAAACATTACGGAGCCACAGAGGAATCGGCAGTGAGGCTTGAATACTTTTGCTCTTCATGTTAATTCTCGCTCAAATTATCTTCGATTTTTCCAAATAACGTTCAATAATGAATGGCTGAAAATATGAGACACCAGCTTTTAGATATTTGCGATATTTTACAATTTTAGCCCTTCACTATCCATTATTTTCTCAGATAGCACCAAGGCCAAAAGCATGGTGCATAGCAGCTGCTTGACCTTATTATCGTTTTCTTCAATGGTGTGCCACTTGCCAAGTGTGTTGTAACCGGGTTTTCTAAACTTTTCATTTTTCAAATTTTGCGAGCTTGAAACTTTATCTCCATCACTTGAATTTAATTTAATTAGATTTTACAAAACAGTTATTTTTCACATTCTTTTGCCAAGTCAGATATTGTGCTGTTTTTTTCGGGTTTTATAGTCGAAACTGATTATTCCGGTATTTCCGATCCAATACTCGAACTAACCGGCCCGTATCCGGAACTGGAATCAAACCAATTGCATAATATCGGTCCGATAACATCCCTATGTTAAAGTATTGTTAATGTATGTGCTATATTTTTTTCATTTTAATATATAGGAGATAACTAATGTAAGATAAGATATGTGCAAAGTTCTTGAAGTTCTCTTAATAAAAACTCTTATGGAGAAAGATAACTCCAACATATATACACATAAGTGGTCATATCATACTCATATAAGGTACACTAACAACTAATTTTAATACTTGTTTAAGATATATAATTACAATCGCTTTAGGATGTATTACGGGTAGCCTTAATGCCATATCATATCGGTATAAGATACACTAACAACTAATTTTGATGTTTGTTTAAAATATATAATTACAATCGCTTTAAGATGTATTACGAGTAACCTCTTATGTGGCATTGAGGTGACATCATCTCGAGCTACAATCGCATCCAAATTATTGCATCATGATTTATGTCATTTTTAATTTTTTATATTCCTTAAATTATATAAACTAAAAATAATAATGTGGCATCAAAACATCCTATTTCGGTTTTGTTTGGGTCATGAGGAAACATATGCTTTCGTAAGAATCCATAATGAAGAAACATGATTCATATGTAACAGTGTAAGAAAACTTAACATTTACACTCTTCAAACATTTGATGTTCAAACATATCATACGCAAGAGTATGTTTTGAACTATAACATACTAACGTCACTATCGAATTTACGTAATCCCATAAGGTCCACAAAGTAGGAAGTGTAGTGGTATGATCATCGTCTAGTAATGAACAAGCATCCTATAAATGGCTAGACAGAGCACACAAGGAAAAGAAAGTAGGTTGCATCAGGATTGAATGAGGTGTATCAAGCCTTCATAGGTGTGAATGTCACACCCCCAAACCTAGGATAACGGAAACGTCTGGGGGTGGCGGACTTCATGTATACTATCACAACAATGAGTATAAAAGTGCTTAAAGTAAATACAACCAATCATAAATATAATCGGAAAAGAATTACATGGTTTCAAGTGTTACATATTTCAGTGATTGATTACAACATGATATAAAAATAGTTGTTCAACGTCGTAGCGTTCCATCATCAAAAGCTTGTGGTTACCTGGTTTCGTTGATTTCATGAGAATACAAGTAGTTTAGAAAAGGTGTCAATAATTAAGTTGGTGAGTTCATAAGCTTTTTAGATGAAGAGTTTGGAAACCAATCTTTGTAATGAGTTGGGTGTTACCAAGAAAAATCCAATATTTTCCTTACAAGGGTGATGTGTAGTCTTAAATACCAAGACCGTAATGTACAAGTAATATCCATACTTATTGATATAAAAAGTGATTTTAAATCGACATAAAACCCTTTTTGATTTGAGAAAATCCCCGTAAACTTTATGTGTTGTTAACTCTCTATGTGAGTCGCTATAACCATACTATGACTAATGAACCTGCCACGACGTTTCTCAGGCGTCAAAAAAGATAATGACACTTGTCACCCCAGACCTACCGGTCTAGCTGTTGCGTGCAGCTCGGGTGTGGGTTTGTCAGACCCAATATAGATCTATACACAACCATCACGTTCTCCCTACAAGAGACTCTAGTTATAACTACCAAGAATTTTAACCCGTACTCTAGGAGTACTGAGAAGAATGTCTCACAATTTACGTTAACAAGTTTACGTGTAGTGTGCGTGAGTGTAAAACCTTTTTCTATGGGAATAAAACCTTCCGAAATGTGTTTGTTGTGTTAGTGGAAACATAAACTATACCTATTATAGCTTATCAAAATGTTTTGTAATGGTAGAAATCCTCTTTATATATGATGTAAACCTTTATAATAAGGTAAAAGACATGTAATATAACCAACATGTAATTATATATGATAATACACACCTTGCTCAGCAAGTTACAAGGTGTAAATGAGTTATTAACAATTTGCTAGTTTTATCACTTTCGTTCCTGTTCTTGGAATAATTATAGAAAAAATCATACAGAGTCGAAACTAAATCCGTAAACTCTGAGAGTTTAAAAAATGTGTCTAATTTGTTCATAAATTTTATTATTACTTTTAGAAGTCTCTAACTGGTGTGAAAACGTTCATTTTCACAGAGTGGTCCGAATTCGTAGCTACAGTGATACGCAGTTTTGTAAAAATCACCAAAAATTGTAGAAAAATCGTGTCAATATGTGGAAGTAGTCATTTTAAAGGTATAAACCTGAAATATTTGCACCTAATACAGTTTTGAAAACTAAGATGTTTAAGATGTCCAAAATAGTTCGTGAATGAACATTAACTTTTCTGTTGAAAGTTGATGTTTGAGTTTTGTTAAGTATTTGGTGTTTTAACTTGTATTCTCCCCCTAAAACTTGAAGAAAACATGAAAATATGGGGGTATGAACTCACCTTGTATGGTTTCAGTGAATGGATGATGAAGAAGGGAAGTGTCCAACTCAAGAACACTTTAGATGATGCTTCAAGATTCGAAGATCTAACATAAATATAATGATATTTGTGTATGAGACTCATGATTTGAGTTAGGAAGCTTAAGGAAATCAAGTGTGGTGAGAGATTTACTTACCAAAGGTGTGTGAAGAGCTCAAGATCAGCCTTGAATCTCGAATTCTTGGTTAGAGGAAGTGAGAGAGAATGGGTTTTTACTTTTTGGTGAAAAGTGAGTGAAATGGGAGGAGAAATAAGGATCCTTCTAGCCTTTGATCAAGATTATGGCTAGAAATGAGTGTACAAAGGACAATGATTGACTAGGTATGGGTGAATAGTGACTGGGAATGGTCATGGAGTGGGTATAGGAGGTAACTTGTGTCCTTACCCAAAGGATAAGGCAACCCTCCACCTAAATATCTTACCTACTATATTTTTAATCTTAGATTATGATTACCCTAAAAATGTGATTAGATTATGGAAATACAGGGTCTTATATGTCAAAATATAAGTTTGGGTGAAAATCGCACGTTAAAATCATGAAAAACGAGCTTAAAACACAAAAGTAGTCGAAAACCGGGTAAAAGTTGCGAATCTGTGAAGTCAGGGCCGAAGGTTCGGTCTTTGATGTTGAGGACCGAAAGTGGGCTTCGCTTGTTATGAGAACAGAAAGGAGGGTTCGGTCGGGGCAATCTCGCAGGCGAAAAACAGCGGAAGGAACCGAAAGCAAAGCTCGGTCTAGGCGAGATTCAGTCCTATGCGAGGTTCGGTCCTATGCGAGGTTTGGTCCTATGCGATCTTCAGGTTCGGTCCTACTACTTTCTGTTCTTCATAGTTTCGCTTCTAATGGAAGTTTTGGTTCTCCTTGGTTTGGTTCTTAAGCTAGTCTCGGTTCTAATGAGAGGCTTCGGTCCTATAATGCTATTTTCGGTCCCAGAGGCTTCTTAGGAGTTTCGCTTCTTAGGGTTTCGGCCCTATAAGGCGGTTTTTCAAGTTTTCTTCCTGTTTTGAGTGATTTTTGTCCAAGTTAAGGGTCGGGTTGCCCCCAAATCATTATAAGAGTTGATCGAAATTATGAGAGAGATTTGGAAGAAATTTGGCAGAGATTTGGGAGAGATTTAAGATAAAGAGACATAGAGCGAGAGAGATCGAGAGAGACTTAGTTTGTGATCTTTGTGAGTCTTTAACTTCGAAATGCAAGGTTTGTAAACCTCGTTTAGCGTTGTCATGAGTGTTATATGCCCCCGAGGGGTACGGAATAACGTTATATCGAATAGTTTCATCACTTACCCCGATTAGGGTTTTAAAATTTCTAAACAAATGAACTTTCCAAGTGATAACTTCTTATTAACATAGTGAGTTGTACAACTTTAAGCATAAGGAAAACCCTAATATACAAGGGTTAAATGAGTTGACCGGTTTGAACCGTTGGCTTTATTTGACTTTAACTTGACCAGAAATTGACGATTGTCACAGTGACCTTGTTATTCCAAGGTAAAATCATTAACAACATACACACGGGCCTTAAGGGGTGTGATCCTTATTCAACCTAATTATGGTCTAGGATGATTCCATTGATCTAATCCATCTCTTCGATTCTAAAGATTTCTTAGTTTGGTGTTCATGTGTTCATGTCATTCATATCATAGAGATCTGATCTTTAGTTCTAGTATATTGACACATTGATTGCACCCTAGTCTATGAATCTAATCTAAGGGAGCAAGTAGAGTTCAAGTTTTTATGGAGATCATATTTGAAAAATAACTTGTTAGTATGGCCTTCGGACTATTCGTGTAATGTTTATTACATATGAGGTGCAATTATAGTGTGTACCATAATATTTGTCATGTGACATATCATGTCCCTATGATTAATTTATGTAGTATGATGGACATGACATTTATACATAACTGGGGGACCTATTGTGTGTGGTTCTAAATAATTTCCATAAGGTGTAATTGATAAATAAATACACAGATTTAAGAGGGTGTACGATTTAAGAGGGAATGGTGTTTCTTCATTTTTGCATTTGCAATCCTCTTTATAAACACCATTATAATGTGTGTAATTCAATCCATCAAAATCAATCATTTATGCATCACTATGTTAAGTGGAAGAATCATAATATAGAGAT